ACCTTATAACTCATACCGTATGACGTTCGAACCAGGAAGCGCATTATCCTAAGCGACAAACCGCTTGAAAAAATACGGGCAGATTACTGGCCTATGATCGAATTTTGCGAGGCCACAATATCTACCCGATTTTGTGGAAACAAAATCGTACTGCAAGAATTAAATTTATTCTGCGGTTACAATCGACAGAAATTCTTTTAAATCAGCGGGTAAACGTTTCGTTAATCTTTGAGGTTGATTACGAGTTTAGGCAACACTAAAGTTTGTTTGTTACAACAAATGGAAGCTGTAGTAAAGCTGTAGTTTTTGTTCATACATCAATTGGCAAAGATGTTTGGGAACTTCAGTAGAAAATTCTAACCTATCAAAAGATAGTGAGGGGATCTTAACATCATGCAATTAGCTTGTTCCCGAAAGCTTTCCATTACTTCTGGTGCTATCGAGCCGATAACTATTCAATCAGATCATTGAATGTACAATGATTGCGATTATTTAAAATAATAATAATCTAAACAGAAACATTTACCGGAACTCGTATTTTAGCCGAAAAACTGTTTAAGTCGGCCAACGGAGTTCGGAAAATATTCAAGTCGAGGAGAAAATGTTTTGGTAGAAGGGTCCACAAGTCCTTTCATATTTTTATCTAATATAAATTGATACAAACACACATTTGGGCAGGTTTGCACACATTTACATATTTTTGATTCCGTTCACAAAGTGAGTTGTACTCCCCGTATTCAAGGCTCCAAAGTCTCAAACTGGTTCCAATGANAATTGATACAAACACACATTTGGGCAGGTTTGCACACATTTACATATTTTTGATTCCGTTCACAAAGTGAGTTGTACTCCCCGTATTCAAGGCTCCAAAATCTCAAACTGGTTCCAATGGTCGACAACTGGTAACAAACTAGTCTTCATTAACTACACTAATCATCGATTTTACAATTGGAAGAATTTTCATATGAGAACTCACTTAATGCTTACATTGACTCCTTGATTATTTTGCTGTGTTGAATACTTAAATACTATCCATGTATTATTTCTGCTCGACACATAAGTGAAGGTTCTACGACATATAAAAGTTACATGAATTTGTTTATATAATTTGCTACTGCAATCATTCACCTTCAAGTGATTATCAAGCGTCTGGCTCCATATCCACTCAAAAACGGTTCGCCAAACACCTTTGTCGATGTCTATAACTGAAGACCAATCTTATTAGAACAGCAAAGGAATTAAGTGGAATTTACCTGCAGCATCTCACTTTGGTGGAAAATAGGAAGCAAGAGTCCCATTCGTTGAGACCCACTAGGAAAAGTGTTGGCTCTAGTATTTTAACTTGCGAAGTCTCGCCTGTCTAGTCATCAGCTTGTACAGATAATTGTTAAAGATTTCTGGAAAAAAAGGAAAAAATTTCATCTTCAATAAATTCAAAACTTTAATTTTTTTAATCGAAAATATTTTCTAGGGAGCCACCACTTCCGGTCTACCGCAAATGAGACAAGAAGTTTCTTAATTAACTGGAATAACTAACTTCTAGTACTCTAAGTACTAGAATCCGTCATCGCATATGTTTTAACTATCCAAACAATACGCATATGTTAGAAAAACTCTTTATACGCATTTTTCGTTTCCAGGTTATTTTAATGAATCTTTTAGTAACCACTATGCAATTTATATCACGAAAGTTATCCATATTCATCAAAATAGTTAATTGAATTAAAATTTCAATTTTTTTGGTGAATATGGATAACTTTCGTGATATTCAATCGGCAAATACGGCCAAAAACATCCTACTCTACAAACGTACAACATATAGACTAAAACTTCAACTACAACACATTATTTAATTTTAATTTAATTGTACGTTATGTAGACGTCTTCTGAGGACGACCAAGTGGTCGAAATCGATTAGGACAATTAAAATAAAACAACATCAAAAAGTATATTAAGAGAAATTTTAATTCAATTAACTATTTTGGTGAATATGGATAACTTTCGTGATATTCAATCGGCAAATACGGCCAAAAACATCCTACTCTACAAACGTACCACATATAGACTAAAACTTCAACTACAACACATTATTTAATTTTAATTTAATTGTACGTTATGTAGACGTCTTCTGAGGACGACCAAGTGGTCGAAATCGATTAGGACAATTAAAATAAAACAACATCAAAAAGTATATTAAGAGAAATTTTAATTCAATTAACTATTTTGGTGAATATGGATAACTTTCGTGATATTCAATCGGCAAATACGGCCAAAAACATCCTACTCTACAAACGTACCACATATAGACTAAAACTTCAACTACAACACATTATTTAATTTTAATTTAATTGTACGTTATGTAGACGTCTTCTGAGGACGACCAAGTGGTCGAAATCGATTAGGACAATTAAAATAAAACAACATCAAAAAGTATATTAAGAGAAATTTTAATTCAATTAACTATTTTGGTGAATATGGATAACTTTCGTGATATTCAATCGGCAAATACGGCCAAAAACATCCTACTCTACAAACGTACCACATATAGACTAAAACTTCAACTACAACACATTATTTAATTTTAATTTAATTGTACGTTATGTAGACGTCTTCTGAGGACGACCAAGTGGTCGAAATCGATTAGGACAATTAAAATAAAACAACATCAAAAAGTATATTAAGAGAAATTTTAATTCAATTAACTATTTTGGTGAATATGGATAACTTTCGTGATATTCAATCGGCAAATACGGCCAAAAACATCCTACTCTACAAACGTACCACATATAGACTAAAACTTCAACTACAACACATTATTTAATTTTAATTTAATTGTACGTTATGTAGACGTCTTCTGAGGACGACCAAGTGGTCGAAATCGATTAGGACAATTAAAATAAAACAACATCAAAAAGTATATTAAGAGAAATTTTAATTCAATCAACTATGCAATTTGACCGAAAAACATTAAAATGTTTAGGAATAACCATGTAAAAATTTGTTTATTTTAATAATAATAATTAATCATTAGACTTCAACAGAAATATGTCATTTTTTTATTTTCCAATATAAAAATCATTTTTTTTAAATACTGATTATTTTTTTTTAATATGTGAGAATACCCCCACAAGGAGGTAAGACAATTCACGTACCTGGAGAATTTGCTTTTCGAGCGGATAATAGCGTGAGAGAGTTAGAAACGCAAGTAGATTATTGGGACAGATATTAAGCGGGGAGAACGAATATTCGGGAAGGATTTGTACAGGCGGAAAATGATGTTATTATGGACTGGTGAGGAGTGTGTTAATCTATGGAGTAGAAGTATGGGGGTGGAAGGAATACAAAACGGTAAAGGAGATCTTGGAGAGATATTGGAAGTGGGTCCTCAGTGTGAATGCATCATGAAGTGGTGCATTTTATATTGTAGCTAGTACGTTTTAATTGTATACAGAAAGTAACAATAAACGATATTATATAATTAAAGTTAAATCAGTACTAATTAAAGTACTAATTTATAAATGAGAGATAA